AGAAAATGCACAACTGGGATGAAAAACATTTTATTAAATGGTTGTACCACAACAGGTGTTTGAAATTACGACCAAAAGTCGTCTGGCAAGTATGAGAGTGACGCTACTTGAAATTCCAAACGTTTGCGAAGGATCCTCCAGACAACCTTGCAGTAGATGACGCTGAATGGAAGGTTTAGTGAACACCAAACCTGCTGGAAATTGTCATTTGCGATCCGTTTCCTTAAAGTAGAAGGATGTATTCAAACGAAAAAATGCCGACATGATGATTGTGTATGGAGATGTTAATTGTAACGGGAATTCCGTTCGATGGTTGTACTAAGAACTTAATCAAAACAGGCGTGTTCCACATCACACGACCTTGGCAAACATGAAAAGAAGGTGACGTGAGTCTAGTTCTGATCACATAAAGAGTTTGGTGTACGAGACGCTTATTCCTTCAATTAAAGATCTCAACGCTCGAATGTCTGAAATTGCCGGGAGGATACGTGATACGCCAGGAATCTTTTGAAGAAATACTGAAATAAATCATTTTAAGAATTAAAAATATACCTATAAGAATAAATAAACTGAAAAATTCACTCAATGATTGCATGTGCATCTGCCATCAAACGTAACAAAACATTGGATAGAAATAAATACTTTTTCAAAGAGTTTATTCAATTCTTACTATTAGCTCACACTCTCTATATATTTATTTATTTGTCTTGGTGGAATTTTCCATCGTTATTAAAATACATTTTAAAGCGCTCCATTGAACTGAAATTTTATCTACATGATTATTTTGGATGGCAATACAGTAATTAATTATAATTAATAAAAGTTAATCGTTTAAAACTAATTATTGAAATAATTACAAATACAGCCACGTTGGCATCATTTTTAGCGACTTAGAGGCGATTTTGTAGACTTATGTGTGCGTTGGAAAAGGTTTTTTTTCTCACATTTTAAAGCATTCAGTTGAACTGAAATTTTATATTCACTATTATTTTGGATGACAATACGATACTCTAATGATAATTAATAAAAATTAATGACCACTTAATGTTGTGATTCTGTCATATGTATATACATATTTATAATAATTGTAACTATTTAATAAAAAGTAGCTAAAATAAAATTTTTCTTTGTTGATCTAAGTAGGAACTGACTTAATTTTTTTTATATATATTACTTGTTTTTGAACAATATTTAAAGAAACCATTTCTAATATCCATGCGCTTTATATTAAAGATATTTCTTTTGAAAATGAGAACAATTCTGATAAATATTTTTCTGATATATAGATTATTCATTTTTTTTTTTTTATATTTCTTATACAGCTCATGTGATTACCTTTTCCATTAAATGTTCAGTAAGGGAGTAAATGAATTCTTAAACAATTCCCCTCTATTTAAATATATATAGTTCATTCTAAAATTACGCTCATTAAAATAGTTCTTAAAAAAAGAAAAAAAGAAAGTTTCTTTAAACGACCTGCATATTCTCTAGCCGAAGCTAAAAATTTTATGATACGTTTCTTTACAGCGACGATTTAAAAGATATTTTTTTCCACTCGAAAAGAACTCAGACATATTACTCAATTTGATATCATCCAACTGAGCAGCAAAACAATACATACAGGGGCCGCTTCCATTCTTAATGCTCCGCTACCAGCAAATTTCGAAAAGAAATGTGAGAAAGTCACAACGCTTCATTTCCGGTGTAGTGATCCTTGAAACTGATCGAATCAAAAGATTCCAAAAGGTTTCGAAACGACTTCTACCTTTTCTACACCCCGGATATCTTCCAAGTGATGTATCACTAAAGTAATCATAAAAAACTTAAGCAATGAGTCATACCTCGTAAGGAAAAAAAACTTTTATGGGGTTATATTCTTATCAATATTGTCAATCTTCGCACATCCTGGAGTAAAGATGACGGGAAAAAAATGCCGCGCCAAATGTTTTTGGCAGTTTTCCAGGTAAATTATCCGGGAGTTTTACGTCTGCTAATGGGATCCTGGAGGAATAGGGGTGCTGTCCGAAAATTTTAGAATAAATGGTGTATATTCACTGGGACGAACACTAATGGCTTGTACGTACTACACCCCCGTTTGTGTTTTCTTTCTGTTTTGTTTGAAAATATTTTGAATAAGATAATTATGGAGTCTCTGCTGCTTCTTCTCGCTTTAGAAATAAAGAAGCACTTGCTTCTGTTATGAAAGACGAGTTTTACTTTTTTGTTAAGAGAGGGAATTTTCGAGCCATTTTATTAATTATTTTAAATTGCAGATTGTGAATTGGGAGAAAGTGTTTTCCTTACTTGGAACGATGATATTTTTCGTTTTCTTGAAAGTGTAACTTTGAAACACAGTTTACTTGCGATGTTAAACTTTAAAGTGTTAAAAAGTAGCAAAATTGTGTTTAAACATAGGCTGGAAGTATTTGTGTATTAATATTATTGTATTTTTTCGTATAATATAATAGTTTTCCTCATTGCAATAAGTAATCTTTTCAAAATGAAAAATTCGTGAGTCTTTGTGCTTTTTAAAATATTTATTATTAAATAATTCAAATTGAAATTATCAATGATGAAGCTATTTGTCAGAAGTAAATAAATACGAGTTATTCATTCAAGAATTTTAAAGGATGTAAATAATTGTAAACCTGAAACGCTGTATTATCAAGAAAAGTGTGTTCGAGCAACTTCATGAACAGAACATTGTATACAAAAAGTAAAATCATTGTTATCACTATAAGTGAAAAGCATGCCAACTTATACACATCAGCTCATCTGGCCAGAAAGGACATCTCTTAACTTTTTAACACCCTTTCATAAGCTGTATTTGTATGTAACGTGAAATTTTTTTAATTCAATTTTTACCCACTTTAAGGTATCCGACTACGTTCGGAACCATGATTTTGAAAAAGCGCATAAATGGATAATTTTCGTGATTAGAATATATGCATAAAGTTGTTTAAAGGACGTTTTGACAAAATTTTTTTTATTTAAATACAATATTTCTTCAAAAAATTAACTTAGAAAAACATTTTTTCAAAATGTTCTCATTTTGTGAAAAATGCTTGTATTATAATTATATTTTGCCTGTATATAGCTCAGACCTCTGTATAGAGGCTCAACTATTATTTTTGAAAAATTCACATTATTTGCAGAGTTACCACCCATTGAAATAATTGTCGGCGTTTTTTTCTTAAAATGTCTCCCCTCTGTTGTCGTAAAACATGGATAAACCCACTTCTAATTTATATATTTCAAAAATTCCTGAAAGGAAGTCATTTCATGTACTGAAATAAATACATTTACTTTATTTAAATCTTTTTAATGTAAAATTTATATTGAAAATATTAAATTTCAGCATTCCGAACTAAAAATACCTTTTTTCAGATTTTTTAAACAAATTTCTCATAGTATTTATCAATATAGACGTTAATATATAATTATTTTTATATCCAAAAAAGAATTATGCTATTTATAATTATTTTTTTTAAGTACTCATCTTCTCTGAGATACTGGTTCCGAGCAAAATAAGATTCCCGAGTAAGTCGTAAGCATATAATTTTTTCAAGCATTATATAAAATATATTAAAAAAAACTACTCATTCATGTGTGATATAATAAACAATGCATTTTTAAAAATCATCTTTGGAAATATATTTTTATAGGATCATATTATTTCTCTTGTATTTTTTACTACACTAAAAATTATTAATAATTTCACAGCAAAAACGGCACATTTAAATTTCATTATTTAGCTACATACTTTTCAAAATTGGATAATAATGTTGTGGAATTATCATTTTCCTTAAAAATGCACCATAGATTCGATCATTTATTTATACTAATGAACTACTGAATAACTCTTCTTGAATTTAATTCTTAAAATTCAACATGGCTTTTGAGAACAAATACTAAACATTATTCTGTTATTTAAGACCTGAAAATGCAGTAAATTGTGATATCGCATACTTTAAAATAAGCATGTATAATAAATTAGTAGTTTCCTATTCAAAGTCGTTTAATTTAAATAAATAGCAAGCGGATAGAATTTTTTAAAAATTAAATGTAACTGGAAATGAATATTTGATTTTTCGGATGCTGTCAGTTTTAAATATGCTTTCGAATCCCCTGTAACAAGAACCAATCAAAGCTTAATTACCGTAAAACAACAAACCATCAAAACTTTTCCCAGACCCATTTTCAATTCTTTTCCCAACACGATACCCTCCTACTAAACACCCCTTCAAATAAATCATAACAGATATTCGAAATCCGAACTAAATCCTAACACCTAGTTTCACACCGCCTATAGGTCGGGGAATGCCTCTGGTGCTATGTTGAATATGGGATATTCTAATGCAAACGCGTAACCATATTTCCGAGTCTAAGGCCTTTGTATTGTATTTGTATCTGATATTCTGTGTTATCAAATGAGTTGCCGTATCCAATAACTGGGAACCCTATTAATTCCTATCCAACTGAGCGCAATCCATTGAGCCACACAGCAGATAATACAGGAGTCTCCCGCTGCATTTTACGCACTCACAGTGCATAACCTAAGGGTTTGATTTACCAGCAAGAAGGCCACTGAACTGTAATGCCAATCTCAAAAATCAGCCATTTCTGGCCACGCTATCTTGCTGATGGTTTCGTCGCTTAAAATACACAAATAATTCATTTTGAATTATAATATTTCTTTACTATTTATTTATAATTGGGAGGGTAAGCACTCCTTTTTTAATTCCTACTATTAGTTCACACTCTCCCTTTATATATATATAAATATATATATCTTGTTCAAATTTTCAGTCGTTAATAAAATACTGTCTATTCATCCATTCAAGTACAAATACATTTTTTTAAACTGCTAGTGGATGACACTTGATGTTAATACAGTTTTTTCAAATATTAATTCATTAATAATATTAAGAAATGAATAAATAGTAACAAAAAAAACTAATAGACCAATAGCATATACAGAAATGAAAATCGTTTGTTTTGTCCCTGTAGTGCAATGAATAGCGCGCTGGACCTCTAATCCAAAGTTTGTGGGTTCGAATTCCACTTGGGATGGCCTGACTTCTGAGAATGTTATTTCTTTTTTTACTATAATCTTTTATTAGAATGATTAAATTTAATTAATGAATAAATTGTAACAAACAAACAAAAAATAGTTCAACACTATATACAGAAAGGAAAATGGAAAATTGCAATGAAAATCGCTTTCTATTTTGCCATTTAATATTGTGATTCTGTATTTTGTATGTACATATTTATATTAATTAAAATTATATAATGAAAAGTACTAAAATGTGAAATTTTTCTTTGTCAGCCTAAGTAGGAATTGACTTTATTATTTTTATATATATATATAAATTGTATATTATTCAATTTAAACCGTTTAGTGATAATGGCCTTAAAAATGAATTATCATAATGTCTTGTAGATAAATTTTTTAAGAAAAAAATGCGAGTTAAAAATGAATATTAATTGCTTAAATATTTCGTTATATTATAACAATTTAGAACTTGAACTTAATTAGCAATGATTTCGGAAGGATTTTAGTCAACTATGAGTTAAAATCGAGTTAATATTAAATCACCGTGAATGATAAATTAATATCTTAATTGTTTGCGTGTATAATGCATTACTAATTTTATCTCACATTGCTGGAATATGGATAAAACAAAAAAGAAATTAAAGTGAGATTATAATGTCTTCAGTCTTTTTGGGCCTGATTATCATTTTTTATTTGTAAAATATTTAAGATTGATATATCTATATATAATTTTTAATTTACCATGAATTCAATTTAAGTCTAAAATATAAACAGAAGTACAGCAAGACAGTATGAGTCAGTCAAGGTGTTCGAATACTTGCGAACACTTTTTTTAAAAAAAATGGAGAGATGGAGGAATTTTTTTTTTTTTTTTTTTGATTTTTAGATTTATTTAGTAAATTTTTTAAAAAAAGGCTAAAATTAAGAAGAAAAAAATAAATTATTGCTACTAAAATGGGGAAAAATGGGTCAAAAGTGACAAAAAATTACATAAACGGGGGCCGCTCTGTACACATGAACAAATTCTACAATGAAAAAATTCTCAATTTTCCAATTGTGATGTGTTACTTTGTTATTCATGTTTGAAATGATTTTCAGTATAAGAGTTATTTTAATTTTTACAAAAACTAGAGCACTTTATCTTATTGTTTATATGAAATTGCTTAAAAAAACATTTATTATATTCATATAAAGAACTGTAAATTTTGTAATAAAACAGTTATTGATAATATTGAAGGTTAAGACACTTCTACTATTATGCAAAACCTACGCAAAAAATTTCAGCAAATTATTTTTAAAACTTTTTGAGAAATCGCTATCCCCGTTTGAGCTTTTCGAAAGAAAAAAAAAAAAGCATTTCGAGTAAAATGCATTTTAAAGTTTGACATCTTGTGTACAGTTATGCCATCTGCTTTTAATAAAACACTTGTAGTTTTTGTTCTAGTGAATGGAAAATAAAAACCTTGGTATTTTTATTAAGCTGAAGATGGCCTATAAAATAAAATCATAATAAATAAATAAATAAATAAAAAATTGTCAATTTTTGAAAAAAAATCATGATTTTAGGGTAGTTGGATACCTTAACCATAGGAATAAGATGATAAGGGTAAATATAGTTTTAAGGATGCAAACACACACACACAAACTTCCTCTATACTTTTCTATATCACAAAACTGGAAAGAAAAAAGGATAAATTAGCTTCTAAAAATACCCACTCAAAAATAAGAAACATAATACTAAATAATTTATATTTAAAATATATTATATGATAGTTTCTAAAACCAAATACCATGAAAATAAAAATTATTCTCATTCTTAAAAGGGGAAAAAATCAAATTAAATATAGAAATTTCCGTGAAAAGAAAAGAAAAAAATCTCTGCACTGCAACACGGAATAAATAAGATAAATCCAAACAAGATCACATGGAAAATTTCAAGTATACTTTAAAACATATTATAAATAAAAAATGAAAATATAACAACCATATAAAATTTGTAAGAAAAAGTCTTTAGGAAAAAAGTCATATAGAATTAAATGTAGAATTTTATCTATGTCTGGCGTATAACGCACACTTTTAGCGCAAAAAAATAAGATCGAAATTTAGGATTGTACATTATATACCGGGTATAATAATGATAGAATTAAAATTAAAAAAAGAGATAAGCATAGGAAAATTAGACTTCTACATATATCGAAATACTACTTATTAAAAAAAAGAAATTGTTTCGTGTTAATTAATTTTTGTTACATTTTAAGTGGGTCCGGCACTTCCATAGGAGCCCATGTTAAATTACGTAAGTTAACGTACCTTTTTCTCAGAAACTTCTTGGTACTAATAAATGAAATTTTCACAGTAGGTTATATGTACTATCAATAAAATTTTAATAGAGGGTTTTGTCTTTTTGTTAAAAAGTAAAATAATTATGAATTTTTTAAAAAATGCCAAATTTTTTTCTTTAAAAAATTTAGTTTGAAAATACATTATCTAAAGCAGTTCGCTAGATGTATCTTATTCCCTCCATTAAAATGTGTAAACTTTTTAAAAGTATGTTCACTGAAAATTTGAAGATCCCACATTAATTAGTTTTTGAGAAACAGGTACATATATTGATATTTAATATTGATTTTAATATTGGAAAAATATTGCATTTTGAGAAAATAGGTTTTAAAGTAAGAATTTGTAATTTGTCAATAAGAGTGGCTTCCTTTAAAAAAATAAATAAAAATACTTCTAATTATCGTATTTCTATATATCATTTTAAGCAGAAATGTTTGAATTTTTCAAAAATGTAAAAAAGTCAAAATCGATAATTTTTCAAAAATTCATGTGCCGGACTTCTTAAAAAAATACTTGAAAATGCATAGTAGTTTGTCGGGATTTTTGTATTATTTCGTGTTTAACGATATTTCGTCTTAAGCGTTTTCGCGTTAAATGTATTTCAAAGAATACTATTTTTACGAACGCCAGGGATATAACACCTCGAATAAATTACTTCAAAACATAAGAGCATCATATATGTACATTTCAAGTTTCGCGAGTTATACGGTCGTTATACTTTAAAATTAAAATATGTGGCTTAGAAATATAGGTGCGCTTTATACGCCGGATTTTACGGTACGTGGATAGAGATATTTATGTATACTGTTTTTATATAGAGAGATATATAGTTTTTTCCTGTTTTTTTTTCGGTTTCATGTGTTTGTTTATAATTATTTTTTGAATAGAATTGCAAAATCACCTGTTTCCCTCAATAAAACTATGTAGATTGTAATTCATTTAATGAAATTACAAAATATTTTAAATAAATATTTCAAGATGAGACTTTTTCCGGGGGGGGGGGGATTTTCCAAACAAAATTCCCATGAATTGTTTGAGTAATCTACTGAGAACTTCTAACTAAGGTTTTGATACAGCATTGCTTCTTACCATTCCCTTTTGACAGAGGATTTGGACAGAAGAGAAAAATTGTGTTCGGATATTTTCTGATCTCACCCATTCTTCCCACTTCCCTGTCCGAACACAACCATTTGTTCTCTGTCAGATTCCATACTTTTCCGGTATGAATCTGTTATTTTTGACTGCTCTAAAAATCCCATTAAGAAGAATAAATTCTAATTCCGTGAAATTCTAATGAGACAAGAAATCGATGTCTAAAAGAGCGATCCAGCACATTTAAAAACAGCGGCACAATCGTTGGAAAAAATGTGTGACATCATAACTAAATTATACAGTCCAGTCACATTAATGTGACCACCAGTCAAATGCATCAATAACCACCTTTGGTAGAGCGGAGTGCTGCGAGACGTACAGAAAGAGAGTCAATTAGGTTCCTGAAAGTGTTCACTGGGATATTGAACCATGCCAACTCCAGTGCCGTGGCCAGCTGTTCTGCATTACTTGGGTGAGGATCCATGGCGTGGAATACCCGACAGAGTTGGTGCCAAAGCTTCTCGATTGGATTTAAATCAGGAGAGTTTGCTAACCAGGGGAGAACGATAAAACTACCCTGGTGTTCTTCAAATCACGCACGTACACTGACAGCTGTATGACACTTCCCTTGTCCTGCTGGTAGAGGCCATCATCCTATAGAAAACCAATGCGCATATAAAGTTGGACATGGTCCACAAAGATAGATCCATCATACCTTCCACAATGATGAGTGAACCCAGAGAATGCCAGAAAAACACTTCCCAGATCATAATGCGCACATTTCAAGCCTGCACCATTCCAGCAATGGTAGCATGGTGTTTTCTTTCAGAGGTTTCAAACCATGTACGCTCCCGTCCTTTTTTACGATGGAGCATAAAACGTGATTCATTGGAAGACTCTACCTGTCGCCACTCAGTGAACTGCCAGTTGCGGTACTAACATGTAAATTCCAGCCTTTGTTGCCCATGAACAGCAGTCAGCATAGGTGCATGAACCAGGCGTCTGTTTCGATGTCCCAGACACAGCAATGTTCGCTGAATAGTAGTTTGGGAGACATTGTCGGTAGCCGATTGGTTCATCATTGGTGGTCAGTTGCTCAACGGTAGTACGTCTATTCGCCTGAACGCATCTCCGCATCTGTCATTCACCTCTGTCAGCTAAGGCCTATGGTGCACAACATTTGCCACATCACTGATTTTAGACAGAGCCATTTTGCCATGCACGGTATACTTTTATCACAGCGGCACGCGAACAGTTCACAAACTTAACCGTTTCGGAAATGCTTCCACCCTTGCTCCGAAAATCAATGATCATGCCCTTTTGCACATCGGATAAATCGCTCCGTTTCTGCATTACGCCAACGATTGGAACGTTTTCTGATGCCTTCATACATCCTTTGTATACTATGATACCCCGAGCGCTGGGGTATCATCTCTTCATCATCCATACGACCAATGTTTGAGGGAATGAAAGATGGACTACTAAACTCTGCCATAATAAAATTAGTTTATTATTATCTTAATTTATATACAATAAAACAACACGAGTCTAGGATGTTTATAATCAGGAGTGATGTGACGCA